ACTGGTGATCTCGGCTGCGATCGCAACACAGCACTATCCGAAACCAGCTTCCCGGGCGACGAAGTGAGGCTTGTCAAGCGATTTCCCACCAGCAACCCCAGCCAGTTCGAGTGGACGTTACCATGCCCTCGTCAGACTTCTTCCTCTCAGGCCGGTCATCAAAGTGGGCGACCCAGTGACGAGGACTGCACACATTTTGGCTGATTGCCACTGAAATGTGCCCCTTTTTGGCGCGAGAAATCACACGGAAATCGGAACTTCGCATTAAAGTTAATCACACCATCCGTTCCCCAGTCAGACCACAACTTTCACCTGCCAAATGGGTGCATAGACTTCCTGATGCGGGTCTCAAACCGTGGACTTGAGAGATCAGAGCCAGCCAGAGCTCAGCCTAGACTCTCTGGATCATACGACAGGCATGCGTTCGCCTTTGAACCCAAAAGTCCGCGGTTCGAGTCGCGCTATGGCCACCGCGTTCAACAGCACTGTCTGTTCCTTTTTCGTAGGAAGATGCAACAACAGACAGGATTGGGACTCAAACCATGGTCGTCTGGGCTCAAAGCCTATCGTGTGACCAAGAAAGTGTATGCCGAGATCTGTTTGCAACTGATCGCTCAAGTGCATAGTTCGAGTCCCGATCTGTTCATTGCGCCTAGCATCACTTTCGGTTGCTGTATCTTCCTGCGAAGCTGGTATAGATGGACGTCAAAAACGACCCATTCGAGCTGCTACAGTAGCGCCCTCTTCAAACTTGCCTCATGCTTATCCGACCCCTTGTTCTGGCCGTTTGACCGTTCGAGTAGTCTTTCAGAGATCTCAAAAAATCAAGGCAAGCACTTTTGAAGCAACAAAAACACTTTTTCGCCTCAGCTGAACCGAACTTCCAGGGATCCGTTCGTCTCAAGCATGTTTATCTCGCTCGATCTGCTCAGGCTAATCACAACATATGCAACCAAGGCGACTGTCAAACCGTCGCATAGTTTCTGTATCCAGGGCAGCGATATACGTGCCCTCGGAGCCAAAGGGTCGCCAGGCCA